TGTGTGTGTGTGTGTGTGTGTGTGTGTGTGTGTGTGTGTGTGTGTGTATGTCTATATATACAGTATCATTCATACAAGAGTTTTCTAAACAGAATGTAAGAAAGCAAGGTGGCAATTATACACGACGAGACATATGACAGAAGGTAACGTAACCAGAGATATTATATATATATATATGAAATAAATACAAAAAGAAAGTAAACACAAATCGTAAGGTGGTAAAATGGTTTGTTCAAGTACCTCTGCGAGCGAGGTCGCGCCGGCTAGAGCTGACTCTCTGTTTGTTCGGTTCGTTCAGGAGGAGACGTAACACGATTGGTAGTAGTAGTAGCGGTAGTAGCGGTAGTAGTAGTAGTAGACGATAGCGGTAGTAGTCGATAGTAGCTGACAGTGGTAGATAGCTGATTCGGTACTGGTTGGAGTAGTAACGTGTACGTATACGCGGCGCAGGGCGCTGGGTCGGCGATCGGCTTGCCCTAACTTGACGGCAATAAGCAACACGAGAAATGTTACATATTTGGAAAATCATGTCAAACAGAATGAGTTGTTCTTTTCTTTTCTTTTCTCTATTCGTATCTTATGGGGGGGGGGGGGGCATGGAGAGAGAGGGGGGGGGCAAAAGGAATCGAATCGTTTCACTGTAATCAGCTGACTTTTATCGACTTGATCGTTAATTCGTCACCTCCTATGGTGCTATCTCTATTTTGATCTGTTCGAGGTGGGGGAAGGTTTCGATTTTTCTTTTCGTGGGGTGTTTCGAGAACGAGAGATAGCACAACTGTCAGAGATAAGGGATGTCTTTTTTTTCTCCGACTGTGATAAACGGTGATCAACTATTTTTCGAGGGGGACGCTTGGTAAGAGAATACAGGGACTATTGAAAGTTTGTTCGGTACGCGCAATATGTATGGGAATTGTTTTAAATTATATACAACATCTTACATGCATATATTTATATTAAATCAAGCCAAGCGAGGGCCTGTGAAAAAATTATACCGAGAGGCCTTGAGCCAGTTTCGTCTCGGCAATAGCGCCACGCGACACAGTAACCACCCCTCGACGCAACCAAAGCGTTTGCTTGGATTGCAAAGTCACCCCGCTCTCCGACTAAATACACATTCCCATCCTAATTCCGACGCGGCGAATTCATTAAACGCGAATACAAACCCAGGCTCCCGAATCTTCAACCCTGAACGTCTTCCCGGATAACCGAACCAATATTTTCACACCAATTTCATCCCCTCGACAAAAATTGATCGAAAGCAACCGATCCCATCGGCGGGATCTCGCGCAGATACGAAAAGGTGCGAATCACGCGCTCGATTCGTTTCATCGATACTTCACAGACACAGACACGTATGCTCGCATCGCGCACGCGTCGGTTAGGTCAATTCTCGATCGTTTCCCATGGAACGGTCCGGAAGCAAGCGGAATCTCGGCTCGGGTTCTCGATCCGCAGGGATGCTGGCGGGAAGAGGGTCGTCGGGACAAAAGATCGCTTCTTCTGGCTCGTTTCGATCGTTCTGGTCCTCGACCTGCCCACACTCCCCTCCCTTTCCCTTCGCGACCTCCACGGTTCTTTAATTTCCGTACACGCTCCTCTATCCCCTGGATTTCTTCGTTTCCCGTGTCCCTTTAATCCCGCCCGGTCCTGAAGGAGCCACGGACGCTACGACTTGTTCCTGTATGCGAAGGCGGGCGAAATTTTCACGAAAAGAGGAGTAATGGCAACGTGTGTCTCTCTTCTAATTCTTTTATTATCGAGGCGTGGCAGTCAGTAATAAATAATAAAATTGTGAAACACATTTAGTCCTTCTGTTGGCAATGATAGCAAATAATGGGGAGTATCTTCGTTAACTACATAAACGACATGTACAAAATATAAAATGGAGTGTTTAAAATATATAGCCATCGAGGATAGTCTGTCTTATTTACCATTATTGCTGAAAGACACTCTTTTATTGGCGAGCAAGAAGATTGCAGATAAAGTACGTGGAATGATTTATACTCTAATTGAATCGCAAAATAGAAATACTTTAAATATTAGTGAAATGCAATTACATCTAACCCAGTAATAAAATTAGAAGAACAATCACAGGAAAGGTTAGGAATTCCTCTTGAACACATTTTCAACTATTATTATCGACTCTGCGGTTACATAGCTGCCATTTAACCGAAATTTCACCCACTTTCGTCACCCTCTCCCACACACACTTAACAATTGTCCTCCGAGCAATCGTGCCAACGATGCGCCGATTATTTAACGAAAAATCGTTAGGCTCGCCCTATCCGTGGCTCTCCCATTACCGTGGCCGATTCGATTTCGACGAATAAAAAAAAAAATGAAATCCCGAAAAAATCACACAAGTACTCCATCGTCACGCACACGAACACACATACGCACGTGGTATTCTCCCTCTCGATCCACCGCGATCAATCGTTTCGGTTCTTTCGACGCGTGTTTAATTCGAAGGTGGTTGGTCTTCGAAGGAGGGGAGAGGGGGCTGGACGACGCGTGGAGGGGATATATCCGTTGAAAGGAGGGGCTTCGATTCCGCGATCACAGATTCGCCCCTAGCGGAGGCCGCTGTGGCCTGCTTCTGTCTATCCTAGCTGACGTATTATCTTTTCTTTTCATTTCTTTTTTTTTCCTCTCTATTTGCCTCGGGTAATCATCGATCGTTTATAACCTGGACGATCCGCCACCTGCGGCTTACCTTGCGAAGCTCTTGAACGCCGCGGACTGCGGATTTATGCAGAGCGGCACGCGCGACGTGTTCAGCTGTTCCGCTATAAATTTGTGCATTTCCTCTGAAACAGACAACAGATTCAATCGTGACGCGAGATGGTTGGATTTGGACCTTCGTTTGAGAGGGAATAGGACCAATAGGATGTGGGGAGGAATTAAGGAGGGGTCACAGCTGGGGCTAGGGAGGATGTTAATTTTTAGAGGAATTTCTAATAGAAGAACTGATCGATGTAAAATTGTTTCGTTTCGACATGTCAATATGCAGACTTTGAGGCATAATCGCGATAACGGGGTCCAAAGGGGGTCGATTCTTCGTAGGGGAAGATTCTCCGTGTAATAATGAATCGAAAATGCAGAATGACATTTTTGCATGCGAAGCTTTGATGCCGAGATACTTCAATTTCAACAATCTTGGGGCGCGCGAGCCTTGGGAAGAGTGACTTGACTGACCCGTCTGACCATTACTGGGTATTTCTACTCGCGTTGCACGTTGAAAACAGATTGCATGTTTTGTATCCGTTTCAACTGATTCTATACAGTTAGAAAATGGTTAGATCAAGGAGAAATAGGTGCTACCAATCACGTAGATGATATTTACCACTGCAAGTAGAAAAAGGGAGCGATGGTCAGACACGTCTACGAATACTCAAAATAAATTTTCTCACAAAAGAAGACTCCTAGCAGAAAATCCTATCCTACACTTTCGATTCATTATTGCACGAAGAACCCTCCCTTATCAACAACCCACCCTGTTTTCTCTGTTACAACACCCTCTTCTCTTTCAAACACTTCGGACACAAAGAAGCAATCTGCAGTATTTCAAATTCCCAATTGATACATTGTACAGGTGCCATTTATTTTGTTTCGCGAACGCACTACAAATTCATACCTAATCGCCAAGAACAATAACATAATTTATTGCTACACACGAATAAGAATGTTTATCACCCCATGAAATAAATAATAAAGACTCCAATCCTTGCGAATACTTGTTCGAATCAATTTTCCTCCTTCGTGGCAAAAGTGATTCCGACCATTTTTCTGCAACGTGCAAAAGGCGTGGCGTGCAATTTTCAAAGACTACATCAGACCCAGTTTCGACGCGATTACGAAGAAGAAAGTCATACGCGATAACTTCACGGTCCTCTGACCACGGTGGTGATAAACTATGATTTATCGCGACCGCTGCGCGCACACGCGAGAGTCTATCGCATCATTGTTCTCGCCGCAGCTCGGCCACGTGCCCGAGACGTTTAAACTATTAATAATGCGCGTGACTCACGCCGGGAGACGCGATTTTTCTCCGCGGAAGAAAGCGGCACTGTTAATCTGCCCCGTTGGGAAACGGCGCCCGTTCGATGATAACTCTCGTCGCTCTTGTCAAGGGGGTGGTCGAGCCACGGAATGTTAAACATCGACTCTCTTTAACGTAAACAACGAGTGACTCCAGGCCGTAATAATTACTTGTCGTTGGAAGTGATATGTTATCGATCCGATGGTGTTATATTTCTTCTTCACAAATCTGGTAAATATAGATTACTCGTGATATGAAATTATTCATAATATGGAAACCATACGATATACTCTGCAATATATATTTTATTAATTAACGCAATAATATTCGTATTTCAAGTCATAGTATTATAAATTTATATTACAAGTATAAATATAGATTAATCATAATGCAATTACAATAGAAACCAGTTCAATGACGTGTCATGCGTGAACCATGCTTATAAATATTATTAACATCGAAACACTAGGCGTCTCACTAGATATCTCAGGGATATCAAACTTTTGCCATTGTATCCTTGAGGAACTATTAATTTGAAAAAGAAAAGAAATGTTTATCGCCATGATTCGTAAAACGTACATAGAGCATATGACTCTTAGTAAAAAAAAAAGTCTCAGAAATCCTATTTCGAAGCTCGACCACCCTCCCGTGACGTTTCTGGAGTGGAAAGTTGTGCTTTGCGGTAATGGAGCAAAACGATCGGTTGATTTTATTGGACCAGGAATACGGTTCGAGTTACGAGGCGGCAATGAAGCTAACTCGGCCACCTCGGCCCCTGGGGGAGGGGATTATCTACTGCCCTAAAATCGGTACACCGTGGAAAATTCACGAGCTCGCGTCCGTAACGCTTTATTAGCGCCCCCCGGTATAACATCGATCACTCCCTGCCACTGAATTTACTCGTTGGCCAGCTTCTTCGATTGACAACGGTTTCGAAAGAAATTCGCGAGCGTCGTTACAATTACTACGTAACGCGGTACAATCCAATTTAAAATGTTACGTTTCAAATTCTCGAGTTGCTTCGCTTTCGACAATTAACAGGGGAATGTGACTACTAAGATGGCTGAAACCCTAAGTTGTCCGAGTTAGTATACGTCCCTTTCCCATGTTCGAGGTCCCTTACCTTTCACCTGCTGCACGGTGGTGAGTTTCCGCTCCCAGAGATCGTCGAAGGGATGAGACGTGGCTGGCTCGAAGTCCCCCGTGTACTGTCTCATGCCTGCGCTGGTCGTGTAACAGCACGTGCACATGCACGAGTGATATCTGAGTCTTCCCTCGTCGAGGTAAGGATGCGCCAGAGCATCCACCACGGTGATCCTCTTGTCCTGCGGGAAGTCCGCGAACGAGGTCAACGAACGATCGATAAAGCTCGTCCTTCGCATTGGAGAGCATTTTGTGAGAAAAAGTGGCCCGTATTCGAATTAGCCATCTTCGTTTGTAGGGAAAAGGATTTTTTTTTGTTTTTGAAAATCTGTGATAAATGAAATCGTGGTGGGAATGGGTAGAAGTATTAGGTGCTACGTGTAAACGTGTTTATTATATGTAGTAGAGTGGAGGCTTTGCGTGAAGAATGTTGCAAAATTTCTTGAATATAATAGGATAAATGTAGAATCGTCGAGAAGGTTATCAATTATAATTTTAATAAATATCGGGCTTCGGAAACTGCGTCTAGCAAACAAAATATTTTTGCACAATTGTTTTTTATCCAGATATCTTAATTCCACAGAAGTGTTAAAAAATATTGGTTTTGAATATTACGTTATCCTTTCAGAATCAATATTTTTTTTTATAAGAGGGTCAATAATCATTATATACTCAATGTAATAATACAATTGTAATTATTATTATTAAGTATATTAGGTCGATCGACTAATTTCGGTCGAACTTTGAAGTGAAATACTAGGTTATGCTTTGGCCGAAAGCGAACCCGTCCGCTCTCGCTATTTACGAGGCTGGTGAACGATGGTTATTTCTCTGCGGATGGAGGGGGAGGATAAAAAGCGACAGGCTGCTGGGGACGAATAAATTCACCTACCCCCCGATCGCCAGGACGGATTTGGATTAGTAGCCGGGAGATCCCGAGCGTGGCAATTGTCCGCTTCGTGGCACGGATGAATTATCGATTAACAAATTCGATGTTATTTTGAGGACCCAGTAGATGCACAAGGTGCATTTGGGGTTCCCTCGTGAATTTTAATATCCCGATACCCTTGCACCGTAATTATTTGTCATTTCTCCAAAAACCATTGGTCGTGGTAGAAATTTCAAAAATTAGGAACGAGGAAATATAATGAAAACGTGGAAGACAATTGAAAATTAATTAGAAGGACATTCAAATTTGTTCTTCAAAAAAATCAAATATAAATATAACTCTATGAGTCGAAAGGCCCTCGACATATTCTTTTTTTCTACTTTTCTACTTCTCTCTCAAGCTTTGGCAGTCAACATTTTATTACAACTTTTGTTACGAATACCACTCGAGGAGACTTTTACGATGTCGCGACCCGAGGTATTTTTTACGCACTGTCGAATAAGAATGGAAACGCTCATGGACCATTCGCGAATAATTCTTTTTATTGAACTTTGAGAACCACGAACCGAAGCTTCAGCGATTACCGTATATTTTACACAGGTCCCTTTGTCCCATACAAACACAATTCTTGTTATTCAAAGACACTAGAAGGTCAACATAATACACTATACATTTTATACAGGCCTCTATCTCGTGTATAATCAAGATCCGTGTTATTCAAAGCCATCCGTCAGGTAAATCTTTCCAAATCAATGAGAAATCAACGAGAAATGACTCTGGACAATGAAATGCATCTTAGATACAAGAAAAATACACGCGAGTAACGTCTTTCTAACGAATGATCCCGTACATCCATAAATATCAGAGATTCGCAATGAATAAGTGTCCCGTCCTCTCGGAACTATCAGCGTCAATGTTCGAAGGGAACAGTTCATTGTACCGCGAACCAAGGGAGGCAGATCTCCCTCGTTCAGGGGTGGGCGGGCGAAGAACTTACGGGATCGAAGACTAGCATCTGGCAGAGCAAATGGACGGCCTCGTGCGTCGCCTGGCTGCTGAGGGTGTAGAGGGCCGTCAGCGAGGGTGGCTTCGGTGCGCGCCTCAGCATGTGGGATCTCGCACCCTCGCACGCGTACCTCATGTCCTCGAGGGTCGGTGTGCCCAGCAATTCCGTGATCAGCTCCAGCTGCAAGCGAACGAGTACGTGCACGATTTTACAACGCGATCCCTTTTCGACGGAGACCTCCGTTCACGACCAGAGATGACCGAATAGTAATTTCATTCGGATAAACGGGGGAACGCCGTTTTGCTCATTTATTCTTTATTTCCATTCGGATAATAAAGGAACAAATTCATTGTTTTGTGGTCGACCTCGTGGGAAGAATAATTATATTTAATCGAAGGAGGATTCGATATGCTAGGAAGACAAGGGATCGAGAATTTGGGAGATGATTTGTGAAGTGAAAGTTCGTCTACCGTCGATTTATAGATTGGAAGGAATTCTTTTGTTTTTGAGGGACCTCTGTGAGACATCGTAAAACGATATATCATGCATGACAAGACGCGAATTTTAATGAAGGAAAAGGAAATATTAAGAGCAATATTGTAACAGAATATTTAACCCTTTACACTTGAGGACTCTTTTCTGGTATCTACTCGAGATGCTTCCTTAGCACTCTACTGCCACGAATGCTAAGCTTGGATTGACTTCGAACATGAAATCTCTAATTTGAGATTTGAAAATCAGATCATCTTTATCTCGACAACAATCATTTTACTGACACCTCGAGTTCAAAAAGAAATTGAAGCTAAACAAACTTTATTGCTGGTTGATTTATTTCGTCGAACCTGGTGGCGACCGAAAGTCACCTCTCGAGCGCGAAGGGTTAATTCTACTTCACACAGAAAGTTCGTTAAAGAAATCATCTCACGATCGATCTACAAATTAACTCTACGAAAGCTGTGTCATTCCACAATGTCGTCATAAAGCTCGAAATCGATGTATGATTTTGTATCGGTTATTAAATTTTCCATCTCTGGTAACAGCTGATGTACGTCAGTGATCGAGGTGGACAGGACGTGGACTGACCTGTTGCACAGGACTCTGCGCCTGGAAGAGGATCCGCCTACGCAGGAGCTCGCCGAAAATGCACCCAACGCTCCAGACGTCCACGGCGGCCGTGTAGTGCCGCGCTCCCATCAGGATTTCCGGCGCGCGATAATACTGCGTCACCACTTCCTGGGTCATGTGCTTGTTCTGATCGGGCTCCTCCACACGGGCCAGTCCGAAGTCGCAGATCTGTTCGCAGAGAAAACGTACAATCCTCTCCTCGAAATCGTTCCTACTCTCTTCGAAACATTTCGATCGCGTGTCATTGCTCTGTAGCTTCTACAATTTTTCTCAGATTTCCACGAAATGTTTTTTTTTTTAATTAATTCGTGGAAATGAAAGGTCGTCCCGACGCCAGCTTCGATTCGAACAGGACTTTAGTATAATATTCAAAATTTGCTTGTTAGCGATGTTATTATAGCTTCTACAATTTCTGTCAGGTTCGTATGAAATATTTTTTGATCTTTCCTTATTCTCCAATTGAATGTGTAGGCTATCTAACTCGTGGAACTATTATTTTATTAGATCCCTGCGCGAATGCTACGGATTTGCCGTTAGACTCTCCGAAAAGTCGATAAACCGAATAAAACTCGCGAACGGAGTAATCCATTATTGCAGAAAGTACGGTTTCGACTCAATTAATGCGCCATTACTGGCTCCAAAGGAGCCTGCACTCACCTTCAGCACGCAGTTGCTGTTGACGAGCAGGTTACCCGGCTTGATGTCCCTGTGTAGGATTCTGGCCGAGTGAAGGTACTTGAGACCTGGAAAACAAAAGAGGAATCCCTCGTGAATCGTTCGCACGTATGCTTCGTGATAGCACAGTTTTACTAGGACTCTGATCCTTTGGATCGGGCATCAGCGTAAATTCCAAGGAAAGAACGTTTTCGAGTAGAAAATCTGTGGGACGTGGGACGTTTCCATTGGGAAACGGGCGACCTAGATTTCGACGAAATTCCGTGTCGTTAGAGGCTCTTCGCTCGACAGATTCACGCGCATTCATGGGAGATTATCCGGTGTTTAGCTCGGGGGATGTCGTCGCGACGTCGACGTCCCGACGCCAGTTCCCTCGGCTTCGAGTCGAAGGAGACGTTAATATTTTGCGACCTCTCGCCATTTCTGTTCTATGAGAACGAAATTTTGTTTGGTCGTTCCTTATTCTCTAACCTAAACTACAAGCTGTCTAATTTGTGAAAATATTAGCAAGAACGATTACTAATGAACGATATCATCTACTCTAGTCATCAGCCCAAAATGCATTTGGTTGGAGTTTCTTATCACTCAAGGACAACTCAGCGATAATTTACATAGCGTGACAAAATGTCGAGTGTTAGGCCATTTCCACAGGCACTATAATTTGCGTCCAAGTATACCGTGGCGGAGCATAATCGTCTCGGAAGGGTTTAAAGGGACTTGGACGTTAAACGTGCCTGTAAGTGTTCATCAATGGCGACAAATTGCATCGAATCGTCAACGTTCCTCACCCGTGGTAATAATAAGGTCGTGCCGAAACCTGTTTTCGAATGAAACGTGCGAGCAACGAGAAACCTGTCCTTATTTGAGACAGAAAAAAACAGAAGGAACAGAAGGCTTTGCTGGAGACGGTGTTGCGCTCGAGTTGAATCCTCGAGTTTTCCATTCGATTACACTGGTCCAAATAGAAGGGAAAATGGAGGGATGGAATAAATACCAAAAGAACTCGCTCGTTCGCTCAAAAATTAATAACGTGAAAGCTACGACACATTTCATGTTTCTTCTCATTTTATTAGAGTAAACAGTACTCCACATTACCTCCAAAGAAATTCTCACAAATAATTGCAGTAATTGAAATAAACAGCAAGACCATCTGCTCGCAAGTAGTCGCCAGGAAGGGTTGATTACAAAATTGATCTTTTCAAAGCGTTGTGCAAAACTGGTTTCAAAGAAAAGTCATTTTATTCTCCCTGAACATTTTCAACCCTCAAACCAGAGCTCTTTCTCCTCCAGTGCTATCTTTCCTGTTCTTTCTCGATAAACTACCGGGCGAAATGATACGCGTCGAAAGCAGTGCTGCAAGGGTGGGGACACGAAGAGGGGGCGAGCTGAATAGGGGACAGATTACTGGGCCACCCCTCGCGTCGAAGTGCAATTCGGTTGCACGAATAGAAAGGGGTGGCAAAAGGCTTGGCTAACGGACGCCGAGCGTCGCGGTGCTGTCGTTAAACGCTCGCATAATCCCCCCATGAACGGGCACGTGGGGTTTGGGCGGTGCTTCACGATTTTATTTCTGATATCCGTTCCCACCCATGCAACGATTACGTTTTTCGCGTGACGCGTTCCAGATGCTCGAATATTATACTCGTGTCTACGTATTTTTTTATTTACTCATTGGAACAAGAATATTTATTTTAGGACAGTTTAAAAAATGTTTTATTCGTGTTTCTACATTGATTTGTTCGCGACGGGCAACTTAAATAAAAAAAAAGACCTGTTTCACACGTACCTTATTTCATTTTTGACGTTAATAAGTACATCGCGTGTGATAAATCTCGAAACACGGTACACGTTGTTCCACATTACGGTTCTAGGCAAGTTTTACTTTTTTTCCAGAGATTTACAAAACACCTGCAATACGTTGCCTCGGCGAAAGGGCAGATTTTTTAGTTGAATTCGTTAGGAATTCAGTTTTTTAATTCAGTAGACATCAATCCTTCCCTATATTTTCCGTACGAATCGAGATATTTCTATGAAAATTGTCACAAATACTACTCAAAGCGTGTGCTCTCCACACACACGTGTCGAACGTTTATATCGAATAATCAGTATCCCCAGAAAAAATTCCTAAATATCAACATTGTTTTCGTTCCAAAACGAAGCGTTTCTCTCGAGTCCTAAGAAATACGTCAAACATTGCTACGTTTTCAGATTCAACGGGGACGTAGCTCTCGGAGCACTCCTCCGAAGGGTTGTTTCTTCGCCGAAGGCCATCCCCTTTGCGAGATGAGGCAACAACAACCGATAGAGTTCATCGCTGTAAAAACGCGAGGCTTTTCATTTCCCTTCTTCTTATATTTTCGTTGGTTGCGGATGAAGGACGAATATGAGGGTTGCGGGATGAAAAAGAGCGGTCCAACCGACCAGGGTGGAGACAGGACCGGGGGGACGAAAGGGAGCCGAAAAGAGACAGGCTTGGGCGAGAGGGAGGGAGAAGGACGAAGGGAAAGCAACAGGGGGCGAAAGGAATAAGCACGGAGCGCGGAGGGTTGTGGAGAATAGAGGGGGGTGGACGATGAAAAGGGACGGTGGGTAAGGGATGAAAAAGATAAAAGAAAATGACAAGGAAGAAAGCTTTCACGTTGAATGCTTCTGTTTTCCTTTGGAAGCAAACTGTAACGAGTCGAAATTTTGCAAATTTTAGACTGATTAAGTTACCCGTTAGTACGTTAGATCACTTCCGTTACCACTTACAACATCATAGTTTCCTAGTGTAAATTCATCGCGGTTTGTCTTCCAGATCAAGATTTCAAGTACGGATACAGGTTCCGGGCATTCGATACAATTGAATATATAATTAAATCGTTCAATTACGGAGATCAGACAGAGAAGAAGTCCATCTACCTTTACCGCGTAGAATTCAATACCCTTCGAGTTTTATTTCAAGCACTTTGAAATATTTTCACGTGTAACGAAGATGTACGAAACGAAAGCAAGAAGCGGTTTCCATTTACGAACGGTAGAAGGTGAAATTTGAGAAACACTGGGTAGAGGGATGAACGTTGGTAAGGGGATGACGGCCAGGGAAAGAAAGGACCTCGGTAAGGGATGAACGCACGAGGAGGACGAACGCTGGTTGGGGATGGACGTTGAAGAGGGAACAGACGGGGTGGGTAGTCGCTGGAAGAGAAACAGAAATGAGAGGAGGGTCGGTGGGGGGACGGCTGCAATAAGAGCAGAAACATCGGTGCCAGATGAGTGTGCCGTGAGTCATGCCGCATTCAGACCTCGACTTTTCTCTCTCCGCAATAAAACTCGGTAATATTACCGGGGTAATCTGCCCCGTGGGTGCGTCCGGTTGCGAATTCACCCGCCAGTAATTAAAGTCCCTCTCTGTTTCACCCCTATACCGCTCGAAGCCTTTCTCCTTCGTGCCGATAACTCGAGACGCGCGAAATCCACCCACCGGAATTTTTCTTTATTTTTCCACGCGATAGAGGTGAAAACGACTGTATCTCTCCACCGCGTTCGAATTTCTTCGAGTTTTCGATGACGATGGGTTCTGGACCACTCTCCTGGGCTTAATTGTAGAAGATGTCTCGGGAGGGGTGCGACTGGAACGTGGGATGATAATTTTACAGGTGAAAATAAATAGAAAGGGTAAGGTTGCTTTTTGAGAAAGTTTTGATGTGCAGTGTCTGTGTATTGCTGACTGATTCTACTTGGGACGGTGTTTAGTTTCTTTACGAAGGATTGTTTCATCTCGCATATTAGTTTTTATTGAATGTTGATCGAAGAACGTCGTTATTAGCAAAACAAGTAATTTCTTTAGTTTGGATGTATAATAGAGGAACAATGTCGAGGTATCACGAATTTAATATCCTTCTCTCTCATTTGGATAAGCCTAGGTAAGCTCGATCGCTATCGATTTAATCAGATTAATTAATCGAGTGGTGCAAGATGTTGCAATTAAAGAGGCAGCGTATGGATTGAGGGGGGAGGGAGAGAGAGAGAGGAGAAAGGAGGAATTACGATACTCGCCGCGATAGCAGGTGAACACCAGGAAAAATCAATCGAGGCTCGCCACGAGGCGTCGAATCGAGGTCGATCGGTCATCGATCGACCCGTCGACCGCTGCTTCGTCAGGAAGATCCTGATCGTATTATACGCTTCTCCGCGAAACCCGATTTCGACACGGAAATTATCAAACGTTTTCTGAACATTTTTGTTACGAATTATCGATTAAAAGATATCCTTTTCTTTTCGTAATCGACATCGATTTAGTTCGTAGTCTGGCTTCACCTTCTGGCGGGACAAAAACGTGCCACTGTTATATAGAACGAGGAATCTGACACGGTCGCCTAAAAATATCTCTCGCACGCGATCGGCGATATCATTGAACTCGCCGAGCTCGTCTCGACGCCGAATATAACCGTGGAGCTTCTTCAGAAAAACATGGACGACCTTGAAATGTCGAAAACCACAATCCTCCGCCAGTCACCGTGACAATTTAAGCCATCGTAAAAAAGATTGTCGAGCCTCGATCTCGAAAAATCACAATAATAAATCAGAAATACGTTACAGCGTGAAAGATCGTCAAACAAGAGATCCAAAATAAAGGATTCAAATTTTAGCTAGTGAACGTGAAGCAATTCGCTGGGTGATTAGAGAGAAGCTAGTCAGCGCAAGGCCAATCGCGCGGAATGCGTTTTAATTATCGCCAGCAGGACGCTCCACGACGACCCGTCACATTCGAGTGGTGGTCGAGGTAGGAAGGACACCGGGAGCCACAGGATTTCAGCCATTATGCGTGTGGCCGCCGCGTTCCCGTGATATAAATTGCACCGACGGATTAATGTAATAGAGTGATTAATCGCGCGGGTGACGATCGGACGCGAGCACGTGCTCGCCGATGGATTAAAGCGTTTTACGGGAGGACTTCGACCGTGGCTGCACCCGGAGGGTCATCCGATGAAACCAGTTCTAATGGCCGCTCGACAATTTACGATCCGGCGGACCATCGGGCGGGAAACTACTCCAAAGCTCCCGAAAAACATTTCATTCTATGGCG